AGCAGACCCTCCTATCTTCATAGCAGTTCGCAAGGGAAAAGAATGCTATTTTTTACATTTTAATTATTCATGATTTTTCTTTCCCTGCCCCTCCCAATTGGATGGAGATTTCTATTACCCCTCCTCTTTGTGGCAGTTTCATAACTGTGCAAGCTTCTGTTTGAATTATAAACTCTACGTAATTGCTTAGGGTTCCACATGCATGTTCAATTCTCTTGTAATAAATCTAGTTGCAGTGCAATGTCTCATGGACTTGTGCAGTTATTTTTGATTGACATTATTTGCCAGGCACTGTGCTAAGCACTTTACACATATTATTTTATTTAATACTCACAATAACCCTGGCAAGTAGGTGTTATTATTTTCTCCATTTTACAGGTGAGAAAATTGAGGAAAATAGAGGTTAAGTGACTTACCCAGGGTCACACAGGTAGTCTGAGATTCATCCTCCTGAGTTCAAATGTGGTCTCAGGCATTTAGCAAGTGACACTTAGTCACTTAGTGTGACCCTGGGCAAGTCATTTAACCCTGTTTGCCTCAGTTTCCTCATCTTTAAATGAGCTGGATAAGGAAATGGTAAATGACTCTAGTATCTTTGCAAAGAAAACCCAAATGGGGTCATGAAGCATTAGACATGACTGAAAGGACTTACCAACAGCAATTTTTTGACTCCAGGCCCAGTGCATACACTGGGCCTCCTAGCTGTCTATTTTCTACTTGTCTTTGTCTTTTTACAGGATCATAAGGTCATAGGTCTAGAGCTGGATAGGATTTCTGAGCCTATTTAGTCCAAACCCTTGTTTTACATGTAAGGAAACTGAGTCTGAGGGAGATTAGATGACTTGCTCAGAGATTAACCTTTACTTTTCATGAGTAGTGCTATTTTGGATGGATACCCTTTTCCTTTGATAAAACTTCATCTAAGTCAAGAGAGGGAAGAAGGAGACCAATAAAGTATGTTTCCAGTGATCTAGTTATAAAGGGATGAGACCTAGGACTAGATTGAGAACTTAAAATATTTTTTGATTACTGTCTAGTTGGTTTCCTTGACAATCCTATGTGTTTTATTTTGTGTATTTAAAAACATTTATCTGAGAAAGCACTCTTAAGATTCACCAGATTATCAAAGGTGTTCATGAAACAAAAAGGTTAATAATCCCTGGGCTAGATGTGACCTCTGATTGGAGAGTAATATACAAATATATGACAAATTTTAGAGGAAAAAAATTACAAGAGATGGATGAAAAAGAAATAAAAGCCATAGCTAGTTTTAAAAACAAAACATGTTTCTTGGGGAAATCATTTTGCTTTTACTCTGTATATTTCTTCTCCTTCTTCTCCTTTTCCTTCTCCTCCTCCTCCTCATCCTCCTCCTCCTTCTTCTCTTTTTCCTTCTTCTCCTTCTCCTTCTTCTCCTTCTTACTCTCTCTCTCTCCATATGTATACATGTGTATGTATGTTTATATCTGTTTCCCACTCTCCAGAGAGCTAGTTGTTGTTGTTGGTGGTGGTGGTATGTGTATATGTGTGTGTGTGTGTGTGTGTGTGTGTGGGTGGGTGGGTGTCTGTGTATGCATGTACTAAGTTACAGGGTTATGCTGGTAAACATTTAAGAACTAGCTTTCCGGGGAATGGGAAATCTATGCGTGACACACTTTTCAGTTTAAGTTACATTATTAACATTTTCTCCTTTACTTTCTTAGACAGTTAACAAAGTCATAAATCAAGCCCTGATTTGCAGAATTTATTGATTTGCAAGGTATAAATGCTCACACTGAACATTTAACAATCTGCTCTTGTCAGCCCATTTGAGCTGGCTCCAGCACACTGAGTCTTAAATGTGTACATGTTGCTCCCTCCAGTAGAATGTAAGCTCTTTGATGATAGCAGAGACTGTTTGTTTTTTCTTTATATCCTAAATACGTAGCATAGTACCTGTCTATATACTACACATAGCATATGGTATAAGCTCCTTGAGGGTAGGAATTATTTTATTATTGTCTTTGTACCAGCAATGCCCAGAACAGGCTTTTAATAAATGCTGATTGATTGACCCTGTAAAGTAATGCCCACAAATAGCTTGTGTGTTCATTGTATTTTCTAACTTGTATCAATAATGGGAAATCTAGCATATTTTCCAGGCCCATTAGAATCAAATGAAATAATATATAAAAATAATTTTCTAAATCTTGAAGTGATATGTAAATGCTAGTTAGTATTTAGGAGAAGGATGACTTTCCATGTGGTCATTATTATAAGAAAATAACAATTGAAATTTTGACTCCAGAAAATTAACTAAAAATTGTCATATTTTTCTATCTACCAAGATCAATATTGTCAGTAGGCCTTCTCTAAGCCACTAGTAACCAACAATATCAAAACACACTGAAATTCCCCATTTTTTTCCATAGAATTTTAATGGTATGCTGACACCCCTCTATTTTCCTCTCTTTTTAGTTCTGACAGAATTAAAACTAAGTCATGCTCTAAATCAATTACAGGCTGAGGAAGACAGAAGATGAGAAAATTTCATGCTGTTACCTTCTAAGCAGAAAGTAGCAGACTGAACTTCATTGTGGACACATGTAAGGTAATACAAGTAATGAAAAATAATCCTAATTATTGTACTCAGAATATGGCAGTTTCCATAGGCATTTGGTCTAAATGTGATGAGAAAGCTGAAAAGGACCACTAAATAAACATCATTGGATTTTGGAAGCAAAACAAACAGACCATTCTACTTCATTATAAAGCAGGAATCTTTACTCTTGAAATTCTGCAGGAAGTCATCATGATGACTCTCCAAAAGAGACAGAACAGAGGAAGGGAAAGCCCAGAAAAGGACAACTAAAATGATCAAAATAATGGAGGGTCCTCTGGACAATAATACACTAAAAATAGGAGACAAATCTTAGAGGGTAAGCAATATTAAAAATTAATCCAAATAATAAAGGATAAAGAGAGACAACATGATGTAGTGGAGAGAGCCACTGAACTTGGGTTCAAGTCTCACTTCTGACACTTACTTTCTATGTGACCCTGAACAAATCACTTTACTTCTCAATGAGTCCAAAACTATAATTTGCAGAGAAGGTGCCAATCTGCATTGGAAAAAGAATTTTTCCATATGTGTAGTTCTGTACACAAATAAAACAATATATCCAGTCCCTGTCCTTTAATAAAGGATATCAATAATGTAAATAGAGACATTGTCACCAAAATCTGTAAAGCTATTATTGTAGCACACCTTTAAAGCTTTAAAAAGGAACTTTTGGGACAAGCAAAAGAAGATCATCATGCTACAATGGGTACTAATCTTATTGAATCCATTACTCAAGTATGAGAGTATGAATAAATTCAAGAATGATTTGGAAGAATTCAATATGATAGATACATTAAAATTTTAAGGGAATCCAAAGCTTTGTAGTAAGCCTTCCTAGGCTATTGAAATGAGTATCAATATCTGGCAAGGAGGCATTTTGATAACATTTGTCTTTGATAACATTGTCTGAGAATGAATAGTGAAAAAGATAGAACATAGATCCACCAGTGCTAATTCTTGTGGAATTTCCAAGCTCAATATATTGAAAAGCATGTGATTTTGGAATAGATGTACCATTAGTTATAGTAATTTTTAACTAGAGGAAATTATTGGCAAATGAGACTTACTTTTAAAAAGTATCCATTATGTAGGAGGCAGTCAACTGTTACCATTTTGGTTGTATGAAAATACAGAGCCCAATCACTGATCCTTGGTAATAGACTATGCTTGCATAAATCCTTGAAAAAGAACCTTTTGAAGACAGCATAGATTCTTAAACCATGCAAAAAGAGTCCAGGCCAACCAAATTTGATATTTTCTCTCTGGCACCCAAAAAAGTTTCAGAAACTATGACCATGAAAGCTCAGAGAAATTAATATTCTCTTGGAAGTGAACAAGGCAATCCATTTCTTGGCTCCAGGCATTTGCTTTGGCTGTCCCCCATGCCTGGAATGCTCTCATTCCTTAACTCTGCCTACTGATTTCCTTGGCTTCAAGTCTCAACTAAAATCCCATCTTTAACAGGAAGTCTTTTGCAACCCCTTTTAATTCTAGTGCCTTCCTTCTTTAGATTATTTCCTATTCATCCTGTATATATTTGTTTGCATATTCTCTCCCCCACTGTGAGCTTCTTGAGGGAATGGACTGTCTTTTTGCACTTTTTGTATCCCTAGCACTTAGCACAGTGCCTGACGTTTAATGAGTGTTGATTGATTGAGGGGGCTATAATTTTGAGTTGATGATACAACACTGGAAGAAAATAGACTTGTTTGTGCTTTCATCTCTGCTGAAGGAAGTTAACAGAAAGAATAGGTATATTTTGACTTGCATTCTAATATATATATTAAAAAAATCCTTGTTTTCAGGAGATTGAGATGGCTGAGAATATCACTTTGACAACTGAGTTTATTCTCACTGGATTTATAAGTCACCAAGAACTGCAGATTCTTCTATTCATATTTTTCCTTATAATCTATCTAATAACCATAATAGGCAACATTGGACTGATGATATTAATTTCAATTGAACCTCGGCTCCACTCACCTATGTATTTGTTTCTTGGTAACTTGGCATTTATGGATTCTTTTAGCTCATGTACTGTTACTCCTAAGATGTTAATGAACTTCTTTTCCAAAGATAGAATGATTTCCCTTCATCAATGTATGGCACAATTTTATTTTCTTTGCTTTTCTGAAACTTCAGACTGTTTTCTCCTGGCAGCCATGGCATATGACCGCTATGTGGCAATATGTAATCCACTTCATTATCCCATCATTATGTCAAAGAAACTCTGCATTCAGATGATCACTGGATCACTCATAAGTGGCAATCTACATTCCATGATTCATGTTGGCTTTCTATTCAGATTAACTTTCTGTAAGTCACACCAAATCAATCATTTTTTTTGTGATGTTCTTCCTTTATACCGACTCTCTTGTACTGACCCTTATATTAATGAATTGATGCTATTCATCTTCTCAGGCTCGATTCAAGTCTTCACTATAGGTGTTGTCTTCTTGTCTTATCTTTACATCCTTTTTACTATCTTTAAGATGAAATCAAAGGAGGGACGAGGCAAAGCCTTGTCCACCTGTGCATCCCATTTTATATCCGTCTCAATATTCTATGGTTCTCTTCTCATCATGTATATTCGGCCAGGTGCAGTTAATGAAGGAGCCATAGACATACCCGTTGCTATTTTTTATACTATAATAATTCCCTTTTTAAACCCTTTTATTTATAGCCTGAGAAACAAGGAAGTAGTCAATGTCCTGAGAAAAATTATGGAGAAAAAAATCTCAGGGGTATTTGCAACAAAGTTTGTACGCTGAGGTTCCTAGCTTTTTGTAAACAAAGTTATCCAAAAAATGCAAGAGTAATACTTTGGATAGGACCAAGTCTGTTAGAAAAGTATAAAGTCTAACTGAGAAATTAATTAATGAATACAGCAATTGGGAACTAGGGGACTATTATTACCTTAATTTGAAGTTCAGAAAAGAAGATTATTTGTGTCATCGCAAACTCAGGAACTCAACATACCACCAAAGGTAAATGTGGAAAAGAAGAATCTGTTGAACATTGTCCATAATACCATGGAACTATATCACTGTAGGATTCAGTAGGAAGTATAAAGGAAGATGTGTCAGCATTGATGAATAGCAGTTGACTTTGTACAAAGTCTTTCTCTTTCTTTGTGTTTTAGTTTCAAGTCCCTAGAGTATGAGATGTATGATATGAATATAAAATAAATGATTACTAGAAAAATGCAACCAGATTAAGTAAAACACACACACAAACAAAAACACTCCAAACAAACACACTCCCCTCCAAAACTTCTCAAAAATAGCCTTAACATTCAATGAATTCAACGTGATCACTCCTTGCTTAGAGAAAGCTCTTTTGCAGCACTATTTGTTTCTGAACTTGAAGTTTTCTGAAGTGATTGCTTTGGAAAGTGGAGTTATATGGAAATCACCTATTACTTCATAGAAGTCATGCCAAATCTTGTTGTTCTATGGTGGCAGTTGCCACACAAATATCATTAAACCATTATTAGCAAATTAATCTTGTAGTGACAATTCATCACACTTGCTTAAATGATGCTGTTTGTATTGAAAATATTGTTTCTTCATACATTTTACATGAACTAAGTGAATTGCTAATGAAGTAAAATAAAGTCATTCTTGAATTAGTCAAAAAGTTAAAGAAATATTTTCCCCAAATGGTGTTATCTGTCTACTTGATGAATAAAAGAGTAAAACTGTGTAACCTCTTTGAATCCAGGCTAAATTATTTTATTTATGGACTTATTGACAGCTTAAGATACTAACTTTATATTAAAAATTCATTTACAGCAGTAGCTATAAATTTATAGTAATTACTTCAGAAGCCTCGATACAATAAACATTCCTGTTTTACTACTGTTCCTACTGCTACAGGGAATGCAAAAAAATACCCTAAAGACATAGAGTTTCTACCCTGAAATGACTAACAGTCAAATCATCACAGCAAGGGAAATATGAACAAAAAAGAGAACAGAACTAAACACTATACTGTATGATGAAATGCTAGATTGTATGGTTCAGACATTTTATAGGATTTCAAAGGAGAAAGAAATCAATGAATGCAAGTGTAATTATGGGGGACTTTATAAAAGGGATTGACTCAGGTCTTGAAAAATGAGTAAGATTTGGATAGGCAAGACTGAAGGAAGTATTTCAAGCAAGGATAACAGACTAAAGCAAAGGAATAAGAAACAGTTATGAACAAGCTTTGTGAGCACACTGAGGAGAGAAGCTTGATTGGAGTAGAGGTATGTGCTGGGGAGCAATGAGTTTGGTTAAGTGAGGTAGGCCAGTTAATTGAGGACCCTGATTGCTTGGCTGAGGAACTTAGACTTTATCCTATAGATGGTAGGGAGCCACTGAAGTGTATTGAGTAGTGCTGTACAATGGGAAAGCAACAACAACAATAAAAACAATGTTTTAGAAAAGTTAATTTGGTGGCAGAGTAGATGATACTCTGAAGTGATGGATTCCAGTGTAGCTGCTTTTGTAGTAATCTCCTCATGAGATAGTGAGAACTAGGACAAGATGGTGTGATGTAAGAATATGGGACTGCTTTTGGAAGAGAAATGGATAACAAATGCTGTCTAATCTGATACAGGGAATGGTAGCATTGAAAAAAAAATCTTGAAAAAAAGATTCTTAAGAAGAAAGTTTTGTTTTTTCTGAGAAGCTGATTTCATTCATACATCCACTTAGTTTAAGACATATTTATTTTTTAGTGACAGTACTCCAGGGGAAAATGTCCAATTGACATTTGGAGATTAGAGCCTGGAACTTGAGTGAGAAGTTGGAATTTGCAATGATGATGGGTAAGTCAGCCACTCAAATGAAAGTCTTAGTTGAATAAGTTCTTCAAAGGAGAAAGGAGAGAGCCCCAAACAGAAAGCAATAAAATATGACTTCAGAAATGACCACAGTCAGAGAACGGGAGAATAAATAAGAGTCACTGAAGGAGATAGCTTACTAAGTCTAAAGATGATTGAAAGAGGAGGTAATAGTCCTAGGTTTTCATTGTACTTTAGCCATTAATAAGCTTTGTGAACTTGGGAATGTAATCTTAACTCTATTTTCTTCATTAACTAAAAAAAAATAGAGTTGACCATAAAATAGTTAAAATTCCTTTAAGCTTTAATACTCTATGTTCTAGTTATTGCACAGAAATGAATGATGAGAAAATGGACGCAGCAGAGAATTTTCAGTATATTTGAAAGTGAAAAGAAGAAGAAAAAATGCAATAAGATTAAGCAGCAAGGCCAAACAAAGGATTTTTATTCAAAATAAGGCAGGTAACTGGATATCTGAAGTTCAGGATGGTGGGAATGGATCAATAATTGATCAATGTACAAACATTTCTTAAGTTTCTATTATGCTCCAGACACCATACTAGGTTATGAGGATACATGGATGTATCCTCATGAGAGTACACACACATATCATATATTCACATATAAATACACACATGTGTACACATGCACATATAATATACACATATATACATGTGTACATATATGTACATACAATATTGTGTATATGTGTGTTATATATATGCACATATTATATGTGTATAGTATGCTGTGCATGCTATGGCTTTTTGGAGCCACAGGTGAGAGTTGGGTGACAGGGAGACACCAAAGATAGATGAGCAGCCCTGAAAAGCACTTGGCAAGTCCTTGCACTAGAGGTACTAGTTCTCCCGGCCATTCCCTGGTAAAACTATCTGGGCAAACTGGCTAAACCAGGTGAAGGGTAACCGCAGGCCTCAAACCCATCAGATTGTTAAGGGGAATGTCTGACCCAAGCAGGTGAAGACTTCCCCTGGTACAGTGGGAACAATGGGCAGATGAGAACAGTTTGTTCCAATGGCCATGAAGACGGCTGAAGTGGTTGCTGGGGAGTGCGTAGAGCTTGGTCAGACAACAAAGATGCCAAGGTCATCCACTGCATCCAGGGCCATCACCAGTTACTTGGCATTTGTTTTGCCACCGGACTTTGATGACTCAGGAAGATAAAGTGAAGCTGATGACTTCGTATAATTTTGCCTCACTTAAATCCAGTTTATGTACAAGTCAACACATTTCCCATAATGTCATTGGTTCTCCTTGAAAATGAAGGACAAATGACATGTGCATGCATGTATATGTATATGTGTATATATGTTCCCCAGAAATATTTTTATTATACACACATACTATTTGTGTGCACACAAATAAAATAGATGATGATGGGCTGAATTTGGTTCCTGGGTCATAGTTTGCCAACCTCTGCTTTAGATCACTGCCAGATGGGGGTGACTTTGCTTATGAGATTTGTTATATGGCAAATTAAAATTCATGTCTAGAGACTGTAACTAAGGCAGTTCTCTTAAATTCATTTCTATTTACAGACACTTGCTATTTTAGATAGTGAGGGGGTGGCACAGTGCTTTGCGCATGGTAGATGCTCACTAAACATGATGGATGAATGAAAGAATAAATGTCCTAATGAGGACAATACTCATCATTTGCAAGCTTAGACAAAAAGGTAAAAGCTAGATATATTACAGAAAAAAAAAACAACTAGTTATCCTTAGGATGTGTTTAATCTGACTCTTTCTAGAAGCCATTTCTCTCCTCTTTCTCACCCAAATCCCAATACCTATTTAGTGGACAGGACTATAGACTAACAAGACAATATTTGGGTTGGGGTAGGGAGGGTTTATGAGATGTCTCATCATTCTCAAGGCTTAACCTGTACAAATTCTGATTCTCTTGAGTTGGATACAAATAGAGGAGATGGCATTTTGCAGAGGGGGTAAGCAGTGGAACATAATGGAAGGTAGGTCATAATTGGAGGATGAGAATAGAGCTTGCTCAAATATGTTCTCTTTCTTTGTATTCTCATCTCAAGTCTTGAGAGTGTTAGATCAATTATTGTGATGCTAAATAAAGTAGGCTAAAAGAGAATGTAATTAGTTCCATCAAAGATGGCAGCATGAAAATCTTAGTTAAACCTAGCTTTCCCTACAGGGGTTTTTAGACTGTGGACCATTAATTTATTTTTTTAAAAAAAATTTATAATTGCATTTCCATAAAATTAGTTTCCTTTGTATTTCTATATATTTTGTTTTATGCATTTAGAGACATCATTCTTTGAAGAGGCCTATAGGCTTCAACAGACAGTCAATTCCTGTTCTAGGACAACATTTATGAGTCTATAAGTCTAGTTCACTAGATTTAAGAATTCCTGTTCTAGGACAACATTTATGAGCAATGGGAAATAGTGTAAAAGGAATCAGAGAAGCAATAAACAGGATAAATGAAGAAAAAGGAGATAATGCTTACTGTGAGAGAGAGAGAGAGTAGAGAGAGAGAGAGGGAGAGAGAGAGAGAGAGAGAGAGAGAGAGAGAGAGAGAGAGAGAGAGAAACAGACAGGGAAATAAAGACACAGAGACTCAAATATAGACAGACACAGAAAGACACAGTTAGGGAAACAGAGAGACAGAGAAAGACATAGAGAAACAGAGAAAGAGATAGATATGGAGAGAGACAGACAAAGACACAGGGAAACAGACAGAGATAGAAACTGAAAGGGAGAAAGAAAGTGAGAGAGACACAAAGAGAAACAGAGAAAAACAGACATACACGCAGAGAGACAGACAAACAGATGTAGAGACAGACAGCCACAGAGAGACTGAAGGAGAGATGAAGACATATTGAGTGAGAGAGATAGAACCGAGGAAGAGAGAGACTGACAGAGACAAAGAGACAGAGACAAA